GAAGCCTGAGGGGCTGTTGGGGACATTGGGGCCCATTGCCCTGCACTCGTCTGTCCGAACCATGGGTGTTTCTGTACCTGAGCTCTGAGCCCTGCCTGCCTTTGCCTGTTCCTTTCTCCTTCAGGGAAAGCTGTGCAACTCCTTTGAAACCAGAAATCTTCCCTTCTGCTGCTTGAATTGAAATGTTAATAAAGCCCACCACCAATCAAACTATGAACTGAGCATTTCAAATGCCCCTTTGTTTAATTAGTGCAGCCTCTCCCTGCAGACATCGCCAGACTGGAGTGGGAGGCGAGGGCCAAGGACACAGTGCCCAGGAATTCCTCCTCCTCAAAGTGTGACCCCTCATATCAAATATTTTCTTGCCTCCTCCCTGCATGAGCTGCCCAGAAACAAAACATTTATGGAAGAGGGACCCTTAGAACTTGCAGCATCTCCTGGGGGGGGCTGTAGCCAGCAGGTTAAGCCCCTTGCATGCCCCAGGGCTCTCTTTTCCCCAGGGCAGCAATAAATAACCCTTGGTAATGGAAATGGGGTGACTGGCCTTTGCCTTGAGATCCAGCCTGGTCCCCTCTAGTGAGCATCACTGGGTCCCTGTGTGGCTCCTTGCTCACTGGGGAGGGGAGAAAGCGTGACCCCCTGTTATCAGGAGTGTGCTAACCCCACAGCAAACATGATTTCACTGGTGCAAGGGTAACAGTGGTGACGTTTCCATGGGGAACATGGTCCCTTCCTCTCTGACCTAATCTAAATTGCTTTATGAGAGGTCAGTAGGTAGAGTAAAACTTGTCCCTGGAGGACAGGGTGCTAGGGCAAGGGGGTCCCTTCTGTGGCATGGCAGAGCAGGGGGTTCTCTTGCATCTGGCAAGGGTACATCAGATGTGTTAAAATGTATTTGGTCCTTGGTGGGCTGTGGGCCTGGGCTTCCTGCACCTCTTCTCCTCCTGCCATGCCCTGGCACGTGCCCAGCATCCCCCAGTGCCACTGGCAGCCTGTGTGACCTGTTATGCTGCTGCTCCTGTGTAGGGCTGCAGCTACAGAGTGTTGTCCCACCGCTGCCAAAGGGTTGTGTGGAGCAGCCTTGGCTCCTGCCTGCCCATCTTTTGCAGCTTTCTAATGTCTCACTGGTGGCATTTTCCCTCCAAAAACAGCCCCTGGAAGGACCTCAGGGCTCAGGACCTGCCTGTGAGACCCCTCTGCAGCTATGTTGGGGCGCTCAGTCTCCACCATGGCCAGCAGCTGCTTCTGGTGCTTGGGACCATGACTGCCTGGGTGCCAGTGCTCATCTCCATCCTGGGATGGAGATGTGGGAATGCCAGGGCTCCCCCCACCTCTTGTGGACTTCGATGTGCCACATGTTTCCAGGGGCAGGGAATCCCACTCTGGGCACCTCAGTCCCAGTGACACCTGGGAGCGGAGGGTTGGGGGGAAGGTGTTGCCTGCCATTAGCCCTTAGAAAGCTCTGCTTGCCCCTGCTGGCACCCTCACAGCAGTGGCACATGGCAAACTGTCAGCACGGTGCCCAGGGACAAACTGTGCAGAGGAGTGACCCTCCTCCCTCCCAACAGTGCTCCCACTTGCCCGGGTTCCTGAGGGGCAAATCCATGAGGTGTGGGGCTGGGGGAGGCGGGCCAGAGCAAGAGCCAGAAGCTCCAGGTGGGTGAGCATAGCCCGCAGAGTCCACCCTGCTAGGGGAGCTGCCAGGGGCCCTCCATGCCAGAGGAAAGCTCAGATAAAGTCTGGCTAGAAAGAAAAATTTATTGCGACATCTGTTTGCAACCAGCACTCAACCCCCCCAGCAGTGACTCCGTGATGCCCTTGACCCTGCTGTGATGCCTCCATGGCCAGGGGGCTGGTCCCTGGGGCCACAAGCCCACCCCTCCCATACAGATAGGTTCATTGGGGCTGCAGGCTGGGGTCCTGCTGTGCCAGGGGCTGCCTGCGGGCTGGCAGCATGGAGCAGGAAACAGAAGCCGGATTCAGGGTCCTTCAAAAACATAAGCCACCAGCTGGGATCTCCAAGCAGTCACAAGGCTCTCAGGATCCCCAGGGAGAGAGCAGGGTTGACCCCCCCACCCAGCAAGTGAGAGGGCTGAGCACGGGTGATGCCGCCGTGTCCTCTCCTCTTACCGCGCTCCCTCGGTGCCAGCCCAGGCGCTCTGGGGAGCCGGGAGAGGTGCCAGCCTGGTTCCCACCTGCGGCTGCTACACATATCCCGTCAGGTTGTAGGAGTTGACCTCACTCTTGGGCTTCTGCACCTGGCTGACAGAGGGCTGGGGGCTCTTGCTCGCCAGCAGCTGAGGCTGGTAGGTGTAGGTGGCTGCTGGGTCCCGGGCAGGGCAGGAGGTGCAGAGGATGAAGCCACCGACGAGGGAGAGGAGGGAGGAGATGATGCCCAGGTAAAGAGCCTCCCCGAGCTCAAACTTCATGCTGTCGGGGAGCACGGGGTTGCGGAAATCCCGCAGCACCACGTGGATGTTCCACACCAGCGGGATGAAGCAGAGCAGCCCCCCGAGGATGAAGACTGCGCCGCCCGCCACTGCCACCCGGTCCTTGCCCGGCGAGCCCTGGTTGAAGACAGTGCACCTCATGCCCACGATGGCGAGGAGGCAGGCGAGGGAGGACACGGCGCAGGAGCTCACCATCAGGGCTTGAGCCGCCTGGATGTCGGCAGGCAGGTTGAGCAGGGAGCTGTAGATGTCACACTGGGTGATGCCCGTGCTGTACGTGGCGCACTCCATCCACAGCCCCTTGGTGAAGCTCACGGCTGTCACGATGCTGGAGCCGATGTAGGAGCTGGTCTTCCAGCTGGGCAGCAGCGTGGCCGTCAGCGTGCCGATGTAGCCCAGGAAGGCCACGGTGTAGCCCAGCAGCTGCAGCCCCATGGACACCATGGTGGGGGCCGGCTGTCACCTACCCAGGGCTCGCGGCTTCTCGCCCAGTTCCCTCCTGTGTGCTCACGTTCCCATGGCCCTGCGAGGAGCTCCGCTCACAGCGCTGCAGCTCCACCCCGCTCCCGGGGCCGCTGGTTTTGTGCAGGGTGGGAGCTGCGGGGAGTTACCTGCAGGAGTGGAAAGCAATCCCTCACAGATTAACGATTGACCCAAGCCCGTGGAGGAGCGCCAAGCGCCCTTTCACCTCCGCTATCTCCCCAGCCAGGCTTCAGAGGCAGAGCAGCGCTGCCCAGGAAGGACGCCAAAGCCCTCCCCTGCACTGACGCCACGGGCAGGGATGGAGAGCCAGCTGCTGGTGGGGGGAAAGTGCCCACACTCTTCCTGGAGGTCCTTTGTCTCCTGTGAGGTCCCAAGCCGAGGAAACCAAACACTGTTATTTGGGACCTCAGGTGGTGACCCTGAGGCTTTCCCAGCAGAGGAAGAGGGATGGCACCTCCTCCCCATCTGCAGGGGCTCACCCAAGGCATCTGCAGTCACCCACAACCCACCCCAAGCTGCTGAGGCTCCACTGGGACAATGGGATGTGCCCATCTGAGGTTGAACCATGGATATCAGCCCTTCCATGCTGCTGGGGACAACGATGGAGAGGGATGCATATGACAGTGACATCTGCATCCCCAGGACAGCCTGGAGGTCCACGGAAGGCAGAATCACATCATGGCAAAGCAGGCTTTGGGGATGCTTCTAGGAAGCACCCCACCTGAGCAGGGTGACCTGTCCCATGGAGGGGTGAGCACAACGGGGTGCAGCTCACGCTGTTTTTTTTCTGCCTGTGCCACCTCCTGCCCACAGCCCTGCACGCGGGTGTGGGGGTTGGCGGAGGTGGTGGAGCGAGTTGGTTTGTTTTCCCTCTGCTTTGTTTCAAAATTCCTCCTCCTTCGGTGCCTTGCGAAACCAGACTGAGCCCATGCCGCCCTGGCACCACTGCGGCCAGTGGCCTCCGTGTCACCCCGGGAACGCTCCTGGCTGAGCGTGCTGCCACCCCCCAGGGCCTCCGCTCCGCTCCCTGTCCCCCCGCTGCCACCCCAAATGCTTGGCACCAAAGTCTCCCAACTTTCTGCCTCCTCTCCTGTGCACTAACCAAGCCCTCCCGTGCCGTCCCAGGGGTGTTGCTGGAAAAGAAATGCCTGGGGTGCCCAGGGTGATGGCAAAAAGGCCCGGGAGGGCTGTGCCGGGGCTCTGCGGTACTTACGGAGGAGCTGGAGGAGCAGCGCGGGACCGAGGGCGGCTGCAGCCGGGGGTCACCCAGGACTGGAGGCGGCTGGTCAGGGCAGGGTGAGCAGCCGGGGGGGATCAGGGGCTGCGAGTTGTTTAGCTACAGCTTTGCAAAATCCACCTGCAAATCTCCGCCTGGATCAGAGGCTTATTGCAGATCGGAATTAAACCCCTTTGGCGTCGGGAAGGATTGGGGAGCTGGGATGCCTTGTTTTTGAATTATCAGAGTAGGTTTTGAGTAACTGGCTCGGGACTGACGCTTGCTGTCACGCTTCTGGCCAGCCTTAGTGGCTGGCAGGTGACTGTGTGCCACCCTCTGTGTGCCCGCTCTGGGCTGGGCTGCCTGTGAAGGGTTGGAGGGGCAGTGAAACACCAGCAGGTTCAACTCCACATGCCTCAGAGTAAGCTTGGGCTGTTGGTTCACTCTGCCTGGCTCTGCTTGTCCTCCGCAGGGTTTGTTGTTGTAAGACTACTGGCCCAAATGAGGAGCAAATGGAGAAGGTAATGAGGGCTGTGCTGGCCCCGTGCCCCCTCCTGCTCACCGGCTGCCACAGATGGAGAGGGGCAGGGAGGGCCCCTGGTGACAAATTGTGCTCAGAGCCGAGCAGGGTCCGGCCGGCGTTTGGACAGGGGTGTTTGGATGCTGATAGCAGAGCTACAGTGGGGACCATTTGCTATTTTCTTTCCTTGTCCCAAACTGAAACATTCCCGGGAGCAGGAGGTGACCTGTCTGTCAGTGGCACTTTGCCTTGAGCGCTTGGGCAGGAGCAGTGGGTAGGGAGGGGATGGGGGGCAGTGCTGGGGGGCATCAGCCTTGCACCCTCGTATCAAGAAGTTTTTCGTACCTCCCAGTGTGGTCTCAAAATGCCGAAGGAGAAGGCAGGAAGAACAGGCTAGTGTGTGCTTTCCCCAGCGTGGGGAAATGGGACCTGGCAGCTCCTTGGGACAATGGGCCATGGATGCCTGAGCAAGATCACTGCCCTGCCTCTGCCTGGGGTCCAGCCCTGCCACCTGTCTTCCCTCCCTGTCCTCCCTTGATTATCCCATCACTTGCCTCCTGGTTGCTCTGTGCTTGCCTCCAATGCAGCCCATCCCACTGTCCTCATCTTGCCTGTTTTACTGTCCCCATCACAAGCCCCCCACATTGTCCCCATGGCATGCCCACCATGCAGTCCCATCTCATGCCCATCATGCTGCCCCAACACTCTCCATCCCTTCCCCCTCCCTTATGTAAATGGCTACAAAGAACACTTAATCATCCTTGTTAATTGTCTCTGCCCTCCCCTGTTCCCCCCCTGGGGATTTTCTCACGAATGGTGTCTAACTTTTCCCTTGTGTGTTTTGCTTTTCCACCAGAGATTGCAGCCTCTCCGCCCCCAGCCCCCCCCAGTCCTCTGTTTACACAACTGGGACAAATTTCACACCGCAGGGACTGCTGTCCCCACACCCCCAAGTCCTTTGCTCCCCTGCCCCAAAGAATTTGTGAGTCACCGCAGAGGCAGGGCTATAAATGTGTCCTCACCGAGGGTCTGCAGCGTCAGAAGGGACAGTGTCTCCTGCCACCATGCAAGCTGCTGCCTGTTGCCTGCCTCCCCACGGGCTCCGGGTGCCTGTGGCCACTGCTTGCCCAGCTCTGGGGCTGGAGCAAGGGGGAAGGTACTGCGCTGCCCGGGGGGAGGCCGGGTGTGCATGGAGGGTGGGATGGGGAAGGCTCCAGCTGGGTTCGGGTGAAGGCTGCGCTGGTGGGGACCCCTCTGATCGCAGCGGCCGCGGGTGGGACAGAGGGTGCTGGCACCCGGGCAGGGGCTGATCGGGCGGGTGGGAGACTCCGGGGTTGTGGTGGGAGGGGCAAGGCAAAGGGGAGCGGGCCAGGGTGGGCGGCTGTCGCGCTGAACCTGCTGTCTCACCCAGACCCCTTCCTCTCTGGAGACCGTGGCTGCCCCGAGCCCAGGAGGGACCCGGGAGGCGGCGGGAGCAGACGGACCCTGTGAGTTTGACACTTCCCTACTGTGTCTGTCCCCGTGTACCAGAGGTTGGGGTCCCTGTTAGGCAGAAAACCAGCCCCTTTCCCCCAGAGTTCCTCGCCGCCGGCACTGTTGCACTGTGATGGCACCGTGCCCACTTCCCCTGGTGCATCACCCCGGTGCCCCACGCCGGGGCAGGGACAGGCTGATCCCCCGGGGGGCCACGGCCAGCACAACCCCCCAGCAGCCTGAAAGGGCCGGCTGTTTGCAGCCCGGGCGGGCATTCCTCAGGGGGTTAGCGGGATGCCTGGGCACGAGCTCCTGAGCACGGGGGGGAGATTACCCTGGCACAGAGCCTGCCTCGGGGCGGGGGGAGGGAGATGCCAGCTTCCTTTGCGGGGATGTGAGCGCCCCAACTCAGGGGGGATCTGCCGGGTCTGCGGGGGGGGGAGAGCGCAGCCCCTGGTGCCAGCTGGGAAGGGGGGAGCAGGAGCCCCCGGACAGGGACCACCCGGCTGTGTCTCCTCAGGCTCAGACTCGGGACGCAGTGAGGGATGGCGGCCCCGACAAAGCGCTGTCTTTCTTCCGGCACCCGGTCAGGTAGGAGCCCCGGCACGGTGCCCCGGGGGGCGTGGGGCGGCGGCGGGCGGGGGGCTCACCCCGGCTCTTCCCGCACAGGCTCCTCTGGCCCAAGTCCAAGGCCTTTGACCACCTGTACGGCGTCGGGGAGAAGCTGCTGGAGAACTTCCCGGTGCAGGCCACCCTCTGCTTTTATGAGGACTCGGGCAGCGAGGAGGAGGAGGAGGAAGAAGAAGAAGAGGAGGAGGAGGAGGAGGAGGCAGGGGATGTGACAGCGGGTCTCTTGCCGCAGGCTGGCAGCGCCGGCCCCGGCAAACCGCTGTGAGACGGCAGGCAGGGGCAGGCGGACCCTGCTGCGAGCGGAGCGGGCACAGACCCCGCCCGGGGCTCTCCGCCCGCCCCCGGGGCCGCGCCCTGCGCTGTGCGGGGACCGCGCCACCGCGCGGGACTACAACTCCCAGCGGCCACCGCGGCACCGCCCGGCAGCCGCAGCGCGCCCTCATTGGCTGTCGGTACGAGCCGGGCCGGGGCAGGAGCGCGTGGCCCCGCCCACTGCCCGCATCGCGCTCCTATTGCAGGAGGGAGGCGGGGCGCGCGCTCCGCGGAGCGGAGCGATTGGCCGAGGGGCGGCGAGGGGCGTGTCGGGGGCGGGGCCTCATCTCCCCTCCCTGCCCGCCGGCGGGAGGGAGCGGCTGCGGCGCGCGCGGGGCCGCCATGAGGTACCGGCGGGGTTGGAGGGCGGCGGGCACCGGGCGGGACCACCGGGGATGGGGCTGGCGAGGGGTCTCTGAGCGCTCGGGGAAGAGCAGAGTGGCAGAGCCGCGGGGAGACGTGTCGGTGGGGCGGGGAAGGGGCTCGCCCGGGGCTGGGAAGCCCCCGGGCAGGTGAGCTGGGGGTCCCTGTTGTGGGGTGACAGGTGAGCTCGGGGTACCCGTCGTGGGGCGGCTCTGGAAGCCGAGGGCGGTGGGAGTAATTTGGAGCTGGGTTTGGGCACGGAGGGGCCGGGGCGGAGGCTGCCGGGGCAGCCGGCGCGGGGAGCGCGGTGGGGTCTGGAGGCTGTTTTGGGAGGACGAGGCTTCCCGTGGGGATCTCACGGTCCCTGTCCGGTGTAGCCACTTCTCACGGTGGATCCTGTCACGGAAAACCCCCAGTGCTGGATCCAGCTGAGCCGCTGGTACCGCGGCTACGTGATGCCGGCAGAGTCAGCATCCTCCCTGCGCGGCACGGGGGGCTGCGGGTCCCCCTGCCCTGGACCTGTGCCCTCCCCAGCCTGTCGAGGAGATGCCATCCCCCAGTGTGGACCCCCCAGGCCCGCTCGGGGGTCGGCACCACGCGTTGCACCGTGTTTTCCCGGCACGATTTCCTCCTCTGGCGTCGGTGACGGGAGCGGGGGCGGAGATGGGGGAGCCTGGGGGAGACACAAATGTGCGACTGCAGCATCCTCACTCCCATGGCTGCATCCCTCGCGCCTCCTCACGGTTGCCTTGGCAACCTCCTATCGATGGGGTATTTATAGAGGATGGGAAGCCGGAGGGGGGGACCGGGAATGGGTGGGCGTCTGCTGGGTCAGCCTCCAGCTTCAGGCTTCTCTCAGCCTGCGTGGCTGTGTGGGGGCGGGAGGGATGCTGCTCCCCTTGGCGTCAGCGTGTGTGGTGCTCCAGCTTTTCCTGCTCGCAGGAGCCGGGGGAGGTGGTTAAGGAATTTGCACGTGGAAATAAAAATAAGTGTCTGGGATGTGTGCCCTTCTCACCGGCGTCGCTCGTGCTTCTGGGCTTGTGTGGACTTGCCTTATTGTTTGCACTTGGAATAAACCACCCCTGAGCTCTGACGCTGGGAGCGTTGACACAGATGCTTGGAAAAAACTGAAAGACTGTAAATTAAATGAAACGATGTTAAATTTGTTGCCTGATGATGAATGATGTGGGTTATGGAGCTGGGGATCCTGAGAGATCTGGTCTTGAATATCCTCATTTCTGTGTCTCTGTCCTCCTGTCCATCAAAGAGGGGGAATGCCCATAACAATGAGCGCTTGTGTGGGAACTGTGGCAAGTTCTCTGTGCTGTCCCTTCTTTTATCCTGGGGGTTTGGATCTCTTTTTAAAAACTGATGACAGTAAAAGCGGGTCAGGTTGTCCCTGCTTAGAGCTGACACATCCTGCCGGGGAATGCATGGATCCAGGGGTCTGTGGGGGAATCCATGGATCTGGAGGGCAGTGGGAGAATACATGAATCTGGAGGCCTCTCACATCCTCCAGGAGGGCTCACAGAAGCAGGGCTGGGCTGGGGGGCATAGGAAGCAGCGGATCCCCCTGTGTAGTCCTGATGCTCTCCTGCTTTCCCTCATTCTTGCTTCAACTCCAGACTGAGGTTTACAATCTGAGCTTTGCAAACTGTTGGGAGGAAGCTGCTTTCTCCCTCTGGAGACAGGTCCAGGCTTGCTTGCCCTCTTGCCACTTATGGTGTAGGAACCTTGGAAACCATGGGGAACCTGATGTTGGCAGAGAGAGGTGCTCCATTTACTGGAAGGTGGTTGTTGTGACGTGTGGTGCTGCCTGCTGTGATGGTGTGTGGCACCAGCCCTTCTGTGTGTCTGGGTGCCTGACTTTTATGTGGGAGGAGAGCTGTGTTTCCAGCCCTGCTGACCCCGTGGATGGCTCTGTGCTGTCCCTGGCCTCGCTCCTGCTGAGCAGACCCAAGGACTTTCGGAAAAACTGAGTATCTGAAGTCCTGGACCTGAGATCAGCATGTGGTTTAGTTCCTGCTGTTTCTAACTGTGTTTGCTCCTTCATCCACAATAGATCACTGTAGGAGCTGGGAGTCCTGTCCCTCTGTCTCCTGATGGAGTGGTGGCTTTGCCACAGCAAGATGTCACACGAAATGAGAGTTAGCCCAGGGTTGTCTGATCCATGGGGAATTGAGCACAGGGAGAAGGCAAAGCATGAAAAACAAGTAGATGACACTCCTCCTGCAGGCAGAGAGGAGTATCCTCTCCTTCTGCGGGGCTTTGCTTCACTCTTGTGGGGTTTTGTTTACTACAGTTTTGCTCTTCAAGCAAAAAAGGTGCTTTTCCAGCTGGAGAGGTGTTCAGGGAGCTCTGTCACTCTTGCTGCTGCCCTTACAGAGGCCCAACAACCTTAAGGAGATGCATGTCCTTTTCTTTCCTGCTGTGTAGTCAGCTTTATGGCAGTGGAGCAAACTGTGTGGCCCCATTTATTGCAGATTGTGGGTAGGAGTTGCAGGAGTGAGAACTGGCACGGCTGTGACATTGCTCTGAAACAGGATGACTGCTTTACCTGTATCCATCAATCTCTTGTAGAAGGGAAGAGCACCAGGCTGTTCCCAACAGCTTCTGACACGGCAGGTCATTGTGTCTGCTGATGAGAAATGTGGTCTCTCCTTCATCCAGTTCTTCCCTTTCTACTTTGCACTGAGCTGCTTGGGCAGGGCCCTGGTCCTCCCTGGGCTCCCAGCACTCCAGGAGCTGAGGGTCCCTGAGCCCCTCCAGCCATGCAATGAGTGGGGAGCCAGCTGGAGTCCTTGGCTCTCTGCAGGGGCACTGCTTAGCTGGGATCTGTCCTGGGTCCACCTGTCAGCACCCTGCTTTCTGGATGAATCTGACTCTGGGTGATGGAGGTCTTGGGCTTTAGGGGGTGATTTAATCTGTCAGTGACTGTCCTGTTTTCTTCCCTACAGGTAGGCAGGAGCCCCCCGTGGCCGAGTGAGGCAGCATGGCAAGTAAGTGCTCCCCAGGCAAGATGGAGAGGTGGCAGTGGTGCTGGAGAGAAGGGGGATGTTTGGCAGCCATCTCTCACGGGAGGGGGTGCCTGTGCTTTTTTGGGGGGTGTTATCCTCTATGGGGAGCTGATGCCATCAGCTGCTACCCCTGGATGAGATCTGAGGTCCGGCCTGACTTGTGCTTCTCTCTCCCCTCTGCAAGGTGGGAGTCGAGAGGAGGTGCTGAAGGTCTGACCTCTCTGGGACTACCCAGAGGCCACAGCATTTCTTTCTGTGTGTGGTGCTTGCTGTGCAGGACGGGCCTCCCTGAGGCTCTGTGGGCTGACCGGCCCCTCCGCAGGGGCTGCCGGCCTGCTCTGGCACCTCCCAACAGCAGAGCTGCCACCCACCAGTGCCCACCCAGGGGGCCACACTGCCCTGGGGCCTGTGTGCTGGTGGCACTGGGGCTCTGTGTTCCTGTGGACGTGGCACCCCCAGAGGAGTGCCTGGACAGCGGGGCTGAGGCTGGCGAGGGTGCAGGGTGGAGGATGGCGTGTGGGCTGTTCAGAGCCGGGCTCAACCCTCCCTCCTCGCTCTCCTGGGCAGCCTGTGCGGAGGCTGCGTGCAGCGTGTGCTGGGAGCTCAAGGAGCATGGCAGTAGTGAGTGGAGAGGCACAGAGATCTGTCTGGGATCTCAGGATTTGCTCGGAGTGTCGCCAGAGCCAGCGGTGAAGGTGGAGGCAGTGTCCGTGCTGAGGAGGAGGAGGAGGAGGACCCCAGGGATGACAGGTATGCCTTCTTTCATTATGTGTGCTGTGCTGAGTGGGGGAGGGAGCAGAGATCTTCAGGCAGTGTTTTTAAAAGGCTGCTTTAACCTCCAGTTAGTGAGGAGGGTGCCCAGCTGGGTCCCTGCCTTCCTGCACTGCTGCCTTTTCTCCCTCCCAGAGCTCAGGGGCGGGCTCACCAGCATTTCCTGGTTGTGGAAGGTGTCCCCTTTGGTGGCAGTGTCTCCTGCCAAGTCAGCCCTTCACGGTGACCCTGACGTGCAGGAGGGGGATGTGGTGATGAGCCTGTTCCCCATCACATGCTGTGCAGCAGCGAGCAGCCCCATCTGTCCCTCTGCAGGCACAGCTGTGTGTCCTTCTCCAGAGAAACAGCCCTGGGGTGTCCCCAAGCTGGACAGCCGAGATGTGGGCTGATGTCCACCAGGGGCCATCAGCAGCCCAGGAAAACCAGCAGGGATGAGGTGAACCCAGCCCTCAGTCCTGCTTCCCCCGCCTAAAACTCTGATCTTTCCCGAGCACCGGTTCTCCAGCTGGTGTGGGGAGACTTGGAGAGGCACAGGGGGTCAGTGCTGAGGGTGCTGGGCCTTGGGAAGTCCCCTCAGCCCTGGGACTTAGGTTCAGGACCTGCTCTGCTGTCTGCTCTTCATGTCAGTTGGGGATCCATGTTGGGGATGAGAGGCTCTTGTTTCCTGAAAGCCTCTGTGGTTTTCCTGCTCTGGTCCCCAGGCACGTGGGAGCTCTTTGCACTTTCCATGTAGCAGAGGAGAGGGAGCAGTGACTTAGTTTCTGCTCTCCTACCATTTGTAGGAAATCGCATGTGGGGAGAGACACACCCCTCTGTCACAGCATGCTTAGAGTTGGGACAC